CTAAAGAGGTAATACCTGTTGCAGAAAATGAGGAAGATTCTGTGGAACCAGAGGTGGAGGAAGTTGTAGCAGACGTGGTGATGGCTGTGGCTTCAAGTGCGCTTCTAACGCCTGTGCGAGATGCTCAAGGCGCTGTGGAGACCTTGCGCCCCCCTCGAACGAACAAGCAGGCGCCGGTTACGCAAAGATCCCCGAAAACGACGCCGCCGCGTCCTACAAGACAGTCCAGAACGCGAAGCTCAAGCTGAAGGCACCATAAGTGACACCACAGACACCGGTGCTGCGTCAGCTGCCCCGCATCTCCCTGTCGCCTGCGTAGTCGACGGTGATCCTAACATCATGGCGGCTGGGTGCACGTGAGTGCACTGGCCTCGGATCAGAAGAGGAATCTGGTCCTGATTCAGACGATGACGACGCGGACAGTGAGTGGGAAGGAGATTGGGAGCTTGGAGAACTCTCTGATGAGGAGTTAGCCGATTGCGTTGGAACTGAGCTACCGGACACGTTCTGCAAGTCGGTGGCAATGAATGCGGCGCGTTTGGCGGAGATGAAACATTCTGGCTGGGAGTATGGTAAGTTATGTTGAACGCTATCCAACATACGCAACTATTATTCCGTCGTTGTCCAACATAATGTTAACATTATCTAACTCACTTTGATGTGCTATTTGTAGACCAGTCCAAATTTGGAGACAATCCTACGTATGAAGACCTTTACGACGGGCCTTATGGACCATCTGAGAGCGTCCTTGGAGTGGCTGAAGACCCACTGGCGCTGTTCTTCTACTACCTACCGCCAAAATTGTGGAGACAGATTGCCGTCGAGAGCAATCGCTACCACACGCAGTCGATACCGGGTCGTGCGCAGGCGATTCAAGCGAAGCAGCGTCGTGGTGGTGGAGAAGTAGAGAACCTCGCAGATATTCGTCGGCGACTAGCACGTGTGAAGCCGATAGAACCGTGGGAGGTTTTGCGCGTCATCGCGCTTCTCATTGCAAGGATGCTGTCTCCAGTGCGAAAGGGGATTGCTGCTCACTGGGAGTTGACACCGGCTGGTGCGTTGCCAACGCCACGCTTCGGCAAGTACATGTCCCGCAACCGGTTCTTCCACATAATGGGATACTTGCACTTCTCCAACAACAAGTCGCCTCAAGCTAGCACGGATCGTGTATGGAAGATTCGGCCGGTTATCGAGGTTTTACAGCGTACATTTGCGCGCGGCTACAAGATTCCTCCTGTCGTTAGCTTTGACGAAGCTACGCTGCCTTCAAGATCCCGCTACAATCCTACCAGACAGTTCAACAAGGACAAACCGCACAAGTGGGGGACCAAGGTGTTCGTGGCAGCGTGTGCAGATACAGCTTATTGCATGAGGTGCGTTCAAGGTGGCAAGCTAATGCTTGCCACTTTTTTTTTTGGTCTAAGTGCTTATGTTGGACGGGCAAACATCCACATTGTGGAGAATTTCCTAATCCAACATATTTATTACTTTTACTAATATCGTGTGCGTTTGTGCGACTGTTCAGATTCGAGGTGTACTGTGGGTGCTAAGAGTAATCTCCGGGACTCCGATTCCTGCTGATATAATTGCGGCGAGGCTGCCGTACTAAGAAACATGACGCGCTGTGCCCGCCATTCACCGACCTCCCCCGTGGCCGTTTTGGGTAATCACCAGACCGGTTTTTACACGTCGGTGAAGCTTGCGTTTGGAGCTGTTTGCCGCCGACGGAAGTACATTACCGGGTTACGATCCCAGACGCCGTATTGGCAGGGTTACGCAAAGGGATGTGAAGACTGGACACAGTCCTTACCAAACCGGGGAATGGTGTGTGAGAGAAGCTGACAACCACCCACCAGGGGAACA